GAATTATGCATGAGATCATATTATACATGAATAAATACGGTAGTTTTTATTTTGTTCACAAAGATCTGAGGACAGATTAGCCTAGAAATGTTTGAACAAATGACGACGAAAGCTACAAGTTTGATTAAATCTGTGTTGATGTTTAGAATTAAAGTTTTTTTTATCTTGAAAGAGAAGAACAGTTAAACATTTAGAATAATTATTAAATAATAGAGGTGTAACAACGTATTTATACAGAACTGTCACGGTACAGACAGGTTCAGTCAGATAAACCAGTAACTCCCTGGGCAGCGACTCTTGAAACTAGTTGGTGATTGCTTTCACAAAAGGGTCTCCAAAATGTCTCAGAAGTCGGATGATCCTCTCTAAAGCAGCTTGCACCAAGGCAAAGCAAGAATGTCTCGTTCAGAAGAAACCCAGGAAGGAGCTTGAAGCTGTTTTAGATCGGCAGGATGGAAAAGCTTCATTAATTAATCAAAGCTTTATTTATATAATATACACGCCAAGGCAGCCAAAGTGCTGCTCAGCTAAATAAAAAAATACAGTAATTAAAAGCATGCAAACAATCCCCACTTCCTAAATAAAAACAGAAAAATGATTTTAAAAAGAGAAGATGTATACAAAGTCCAAAGGGTCTTTGGCATGTTTTGAAATGGTCTTCAGCTTCTTATTGTATGTTTTATTTGTACTCCAAAGTCATTTCAAATCAGTCCAAATTGCAGCTTCATGTCAGATTCATCATTAAATGTCAAACCTGTCATGCAGGTGATGTGTTTAACTTCGTTTTTTTTCTCTCACAGGTGGAGCGAGGTGACCCGGCGGCTGGAGCTGTGGGTGCAGCTGATGGAGCTGAACGAGGCAGGAGAGTACACCGCTGTGGAAGTCCTTCCTGCTAAAGATGTTCGCACAGGAGGAATCTTCCAGCTCAAACAGGTGTCTGGATCTTTGCCTTCAGTCTGAAAAGGGACACCGTTTAAAGAAAAAAAAAAAGTTTCATCTAGCGGCCGGCCAATATTTGCATTTTTCCTTGTATCGTATTGGCCGATACGTCTGTCCGTTCAGACGATCCATTCTTTGAGTCACACGAGCGCATACTGCCCCCCCTGGGAGAGAGCAGCTGGAAATGTAAGACAGAGTGCTAACAACAATAAGGGTGAGTTATGAACTTTTAATGAGTTTTAACTGTCTAATATAACCGTTTCTGCCCTCTTGTCTCAGAATATGAGGGGAGAGAACAGCGTCAAGTTTCACTTTCGAACAGGAGCGCCATGTTTTACTTTCACTTTTGGCATTGGGACTGTAATTAGCGTGTCCACATTGTTTCTTTTAAAAAAATACTGGAACTGCTCACAGGAGGCATAGAAGAACACCTCTATTGTTCTCCTTGCTGGATTAAAATAAAAAAGCTTTTCTCACTGTTACGTTCATAAGAGTGAGTAAACAGCTGCMGTCCACATAAACATGTGAACCAGGCAGACGCTGTTCAGATCACGTTTGCTCTGACCGCAGTATAAAACTCATGATGCAGGTTCTCTTTGTTGTTCATTTCAAACTGCGWTCTTAAGCTTGTGTTAACGTCAGCTGGTTTAAATGCATTTTTTGCCCGGTGTAAAAAAACKGGAGTAGACTGAGGCAGAGCTGCTGTGTGTGTAGTCCTCACAAAGATGGCAAGATGTATGTGTGTCTCTCCTTTTCTCTGTGTTCCTGTTTAGGCATCAAAAATGTTTAATTCAATTTAATTCAGTTTATTTATATAGCGCCAAGTCACAACATACGTTGTCTCAGGGCACTGTACATAAA